TTACCACTTTTTCTCAGCTCTCACCGAACCGATTTCTTTCAATGATACGTCAAAAGATCACAAATCGTATCTAGTCGAAGACATTACCCTTAAAAATTGAAAAAAATTCCCTCGTTCCCTGTAAAAGGGGGAAACCTCCAAAAAAATTACAAATTTAAAAATCGCTAATTTTCAAAATTTATTCAATTTTTTTACTTAAAACTGCCATAACATTTTGAAAAATGAACAAATCAATATAATTTTTATTATAGATGCTTGATGTCTTTACCCATAATTTGGTAAATTTTTTCATAAATTTAACCCTTTACCAGCCCACAGAGGGGGATTCAAAATGACAACTTTTTCACAAAAAATCATCTTTTTTAAATTAACTTTTGAAAGTGTTCTGGAAATTCTAACACTTTTATATATATCTTTATTATATTATACTTTATTATGAAAAATAAAAATGTCGGACTTTATTTTGTCTTCACGGTGAAAATGGATACTAATGCTATTTTTGTGTGAAAATTCTCGATTTTATTTTTTACATTTTTAACTTTATAATGTTATAACTTATTGAAAAGTGTATGGATCAACATAAATTTTTTATGAGAAATAATATTTTTTAATATTCCCTTTTTTATTCGACATACTTTATCTTAATCAGGATATTTATAAGGAACTAGCAGATCATGTAACTTTTGGAATAATCCACCAATTTTTTTTAAATTAAACACTACCTAAAGATTTGCATCGAAGTGTTTTTTTATGATAGTGATTTTAATCACTGTCAGATATCATTATACTTGATCCAATTATGCTACGTCACCACTCTGCTACGACCCCCCTGTACTGGGTTTTTTTAATTTATTTGTGTGTGCTACTACTACACTATAAATCATTAAAATTAATTCAGTTCATATTTCAATTGTAAATTCTTTTTAAACACCAAAAGTTACTAGAAAATGATTACTATTATTCCTATTTAAGTTATCTATTACGATAAAAATGCAAAAAAAAAATTGAGCTTTTCGGATAAAATTACTATAAATAGTAATTATAAAATTTCCTGACATATTAATCTTAACGATACAATTTTTTTAATTCTCATAAAATTTCCTGTTTATTGATGTCAATTTCAAACTTGCAAATTGAGCTAAAAGTTTTGGTAATTAATTACTTTTTTTTATTATAAACTTTCACAAAAATCAACTTTAAAATATTAAAAAAATAGGTTAAATGTTTCATTTTCTTTATGTGAAACATATTTTTTTGTGCATAATTATATTTTTATATGCAAAAACTTATTTTTTAATAATAAGTAATAATAGTAAAACTTAGAAGTGAAAAAGAAAAAGCCTAATTGCACATTTCAAAAAAACATCGCAAAAAAGTTGATTTAGAAAATTATATTTTTGTTTCTGATGTAAGTTCCTTGTAGTGTATAAAACTTATAAATTTGTTAAGTGTTATAATTTTATCAAAAATGACCAAATCAGTATAATTTTAACCGAAGATGTTTTTAGTTTAATTAACAAAAACAGCGAGAGTAATGAATTGTCGTCGTCGTCTTGTCTAAAACTAAAAATATTAACAAAATCTATATTGTTTATGAGAAATTTAATGGAACCAACAAGTATTAACCATATGATGAACACATATAATGTTCAAGTCTTTTGAGGTGATGCTTTTACTATTTTAGATGAATTTTGTATAAAAAACTAAAAATGTTTAATGGAGATGAAATAAATTTTATTCTCACAAGGAAATTTTAACGCTGGTT